CCCCCCCCCCCCCCCCACTGGGTCCCAGTATCAGCTTAGGGTAATGTTGAACACATGGAGGGGAGCTGTGGGCAGCGTGAGTCCTACCTGGGGCCATCAACAGCTTCCGACCCTCAGTGACTGACTGCTCAATGTCTCTGTAACCCCGGCCACACGGTGTGGCTGGGACAGTTTGAAATAAAGTTATCTGTTTTCGGGTGACGTGTGGATTGTGTGGATTGTGTGGACCGGGGTTGGGGGGGGCGCACACCCTGCAGCCTCATTTAGATGGCACGGTGATCGTTCCCAAGGCTCCTTGCACGACGCTCTCGAACCAAGCATGGCACAGATGGGTAACCAGCACCTCAGTCAAGTGTCTATTCAAAGCAGTGTCTATAAGGATGGGATAGGGAGGAGGGCTGGATGGGGGGCAGGGGGGAGCGAGTAGATGCTGAGAGCGCGGGTGCTGTTGGAGGGTTGGTCTTCAGGCAGTGGGCACTGTCTGACCTGAGGGTGAATCAGATTTTAAATCTGCCCTGATTTTTTTTTTACAGTAATAGGCCAGTTTGAGTGTATAGGGAGATTTGGTTGTCTCTGGTGTCGTGACTAATTTTCATCCACTCCTCAACGTCACACCCAGAAACAGCTGATTCACTTCCTTAAGACAATTGTTGTGTCTACGTTTGTTCCTACGTCTCCCATCATACGACATCTGAAAAATTACTTCACTGTAGGTGAGCTGCTGAAAGACACTGTGGGTGTGAGAGGCACGCACACACGCACACATAGTCTGCCTTTCACTTGAGCGGAGGGGAGGGGTGGATAATCGAAGCTTACTGTAACACCAGCCTGGAGCAGTGTGTGCAGTTCAGCACTATAGGAAAGATGTGATTGCAGGGGAGAGGGGATATGGTGGGAAGTTGCCTGAGCTGGAGAGAGAGAGACTCAATAGGCTGGGATTGTATTCCATAGAGCAGAGGAGGGTGAAAGAGGGAGGTGGGTGGAAATTGGGAGAAACCTCATTCCCCAACCCTAACCCAGTAGTGGGATCAGCATAAAGGGGGCGTGCCGTTCACCCCTCAGCTCCTGCGCACCAGCCCCACGTTATCTCTCCCACCCCAGGCGAAGATTTTGGAGACGTGGCTGAGAGGGGGGTCGAGGCAGACTTTACCACCACCGAGAGGGGCAGCCCGTAGCCGGGTCACTGTGTCTCTCTTCCTGTTGCAATGGTTGAAGGTAAAGGGCAGAAGGGGTTTGCAGGATTTTATTGTCACCCTGGGGATGTGGAACTCTCTGGCTGATGGAGGTAAGACACCTCCCCGTCCTCCCACCCATGACCTATTTAGACGAGCACATGGAAAGCCCAAGTGTGGAAGGCTACGGTCCAAGCAGAGGGAACAGGGATTAGAACAGATGGATGGTTGATGCCCGGCACACTGATGATGGGCCAAATGGCCTGTTGCAGTGCTGTAAAACCCTAGGACACTTCAGGCTCACAGTTGGAACCCTGAAATGCCTGTCAGAATTACCCCGTTGTAACAGTTGGGAACCCAGGGTCATTATTGCCTGGGGTTGCGTCCTGGTGACCGAGAGCTTGATGTCCTTTCTCCCTGACTGTGAAGCAGCATTGATTTGAAATAACGGCAGAAAGTTGCCAGAGGCGCTCAGCGGATCTACCAGAGCCTGAGGAGTGTATGAACTGTGCCCTTTGTATTTGCCTATGTCTCTGACAGGAGAAAAAGGATCACTTTTCAATGCAAGTGCCCTGACACTCATGGTAGGCAGGGTTGCCATAGCTGCTTGCTGGAGCAGTGGGTGGAAATGTGGTTGCAGCTAAACTGGAGCTGATGGGTGGTGGCCTGATGGAGTTTTGGTTGGCCACAGGTGGCTGATTGGTCTGTGGACTGGTGACCTATTACCTGTAGCAAAAGACTTCTGCCTGCAAACAGCTACGTGAGCGCTGAAGAAGGGCAATGCCCGAAACTTTGACTTGCTCCTTACCTCCAGATGCTGCCTGGCCTGCTGTGTTCTTCCAGCATCTGCAGTTTTTTTTGTCTCTGACTATGTGACTGGTTCTGGGGGCCATAAACAAGCCACAGAGAAGGCTTCAGTCTACGACCAGCTGTCTCTCTGTTCTCTGCAGTAAAAGCCACTTTAAACACAAAGAATCAACAGATTAACTTTCCTCCAGAATTTGCTGTAGGTTGTGACTTCTGATCAATAAATCGGAGACCGTTTATCAGTGGACCAGTCACCCTGTGCCTGATGCAAACCAGTGGGAGCATCCGGAGAAGGGCGATTAAGCAACAGATCAGCACAAGAACTGTCTCATAGATCCTGTGGCCAGGGAGCATGGAAGTGATTTCTCAGTTTTCCCTTCCAACCATATCACCCATGTTTTCTTCCATCGTCTCTGTGTGCGTGCCTGTGGAAGGGGGGAGGGTGATGAGGGGATTCAAGTTTTGATTTGTAGAGCTCCAAGCTGATGCCACATAACTATTTACCTGTAACCAGAGTCTTGTAGTAATTCTGGTTAAGTACAGAACCTAGTCTGTGTTTCCTATTACCCTGAGTTTAAAAGGCAGATCTACTCAACCTTTCCGGATCTATCAAATCTGTAATGTTTGTGATAACTTAAAGAACAGCATATCTGATCTCTCGCACACTTTCCCCAGTGAGAGGTGACAGGAGTGAGAAACAAGGAGCTGATGTCTCATGTCCAATTCTCTGGAATGGGAGGGAGCTGGGAAAGAGGTATTAAGAAAGCTGAGCAGTGAGTGAAACACAGGAAGGTTAGAGGAGAGGGTGCTGTAAACCCTGTGATTTGATTTATTGTTGTACCTGAGTCCAGTGAAAAGTTTGGTTTTGCAAGCAGTACAGGCAGATCATAGCAAACAACGACACATAGATCAGAGGGTGATTAGACAGAGTGAGGCATACACAGGAGGTGCACCAAACAAGATCAACATTAGATTTGAAATTTGAGAGGTCCATTCAGAAGTCTAATACCAGCAGGGAAGAAGCTGTTGTTGAATCTGTTGGTCTGTGTGTTTAAGCTTCTGTGTCTTCTGCCTGACAGAAGGGATTGGAAGAGTCTTTGATGTTGGCTGCCTTTCTGCAGCAATGAGAAGTGTTAAATCACAGAATTCCTACAGTGTGGGAATAGGCCATTCAGCCCAACAAATCCACACTGACTCTCCTAAGAGCATTCCACCCAGAATCACCACACCACCCCCCAAGCTCTAACTCTGCCTTTTCCCATCGCTAATCCACCCTAACCTGCACACTATGGGACAATTTCCCACGGCCGATCCACCCTAACCTGCACACTATGGGACAATTTCCCACGGCCAATCCCACCCTAACCTACACATCCCTGGGCACTATGGGACAATTTCCCACGGCCAATCCCACCCTAACCTACACATCCCTGGGCACTGTGGGACAATTTCCCACGGCCAGTCCCACCCTAACCTGCACATCCCTAGGCACTGTGGGACAATTTCCCACGGCCAGTCCCACCCTAACCTGCACATCCCTGGGCACTGTGGGACAATTTCCCACGGCCAATCCCACCCTAACCTGCACATCCCTGGGCACTACGGGACAATTTCCCACGGCCAGTCCACCCTAACCTGCACATCTTTGGACTGTGGGAGGAAACCGGAGCACCCAGAAGAAACCCATGCAGACCCGGGGAGAATGTGCAAACTCCACACGGACAGATAGTCACCCGAGGGTGGGATTGAACCTGGGTCCTTAGTGCTGTGAGGCAGCAATGCTAGCCGATGAGCCACCATGATGCCCTAATGGAGTTCATGGATGGAAGGTTGGTTTCTGTGATGGTCTGGGCTGTGCACACCACCTTCTGTAGTTTCTTACAGTCCTGGGCAGAGCAGTTGCTGTACCAGGCTGTTATGCCCCCGGACAGAATGCTCTCTGTGGGGCATCTGTAGAAGCTGGTGAGGAATCTTATGGATAGGCCAAATTTCCTGAGTCACCTGAGGAAGAAGAACCATTGTTGTACCTTCTTGACTTTCAGTGCTGAAGGTTGTAGGGGAGGGATGGAGCGTGCATCCAGAGGAGGTGTTAATGGCAGAGGGAGAGACGGAACACACATCCCGTTGGAGAGGAGGTCATGGAAGAGAAACAGTGGTCAATTAAACACTGGAATAAAATTGAAAACACAATGGAGACCTGGAAGAAAGGGCTGGGGAAACTTTTGGTCAGGTTTGGTGGTATCTGTGTGTGGGGAGAGAGAGAGTTAATGTCTCTCAAGTGCAGGGAGATATTTCCTTTGGTAGGGAAGGCGAGACGAAATGTGAAACATGTGTGTGTTTGTGTTGAAAGCCGGCACCTTGTCAGGGGGGAGGAAGGGAAGGAGAGCAGGAAACACGGAGTTAGGGATAGTCCGCTGTAGTTCGGTGACATCACTTATTTACCAGAGCCTTGACAGCCAACTTTACTTCCCCACCCGCCTCTCCCCACAGAGAAACGAAAGGCAGAGAGTGGACCGTTTGTGTGTGTGTGTGTGTGTGTGTGTGTGTAAGTAAAACTGTCTCACAATGTCACGATTCATACCTAATGCTTCCAGGGAGCGTTTTGCTGGACACTGAATGGTGAGTTCTACTCTGGAACTGGGATGCCTGCAAAAGGGAAGCACAGAGATTGGGAATACAGCGGTAGGAGCGAAGGGTCTGCGATTTTATTTTATGTAAAATTCGGGTTGGTGGGGCGTTGTTGTGGGGTCAGTGTGAGGAATGAGGATGGGGGTGCCTCGCTATGCAGCTGGAGACATTTGCTGAACTGTGGATTTTAATAACCCAAAGCTACTCGTACAGACTGAGGGAGTGGCACTCAGGGATAGACCGACTCAGTCCCGTTATTCCGCTGCTCCTGCGACACAGAGATTGTGTTAGACCTCCAGCCCCTTCCTTACCTACAACTATGGCTGTCTCTCAAAAACTGGGGCCTGTGATCATTACATAACACACAACCTCGGGCATATACTCTTCCTCACACACTACTCTCTCACACACACTACTCTCTCACACACACTACTCTCTCACACACACACACACTCCCCCACCACACACAGACACACTCCCACACACACTGATCCCCACACACACACTCTCCTCCACACACACACAATCCCACACACACTCTCCCCCCCACACACAGACACACTCCCACACACACTCGCCCCTACACACACAGACACACTCTCTCATACACACACACAGACATACTCCCACACACACTCTCCCTCACACACACACTCCTACACACACTCTCCCCCCCCACACACACACAGACACACTCCCACACACACACTCTCTCATACACACACACAGACACACACACTCCTCCACACAAACAGACACACTCCCACACACACTCTCCCCCACACACAGACACAATCTCCCCCACACACACACACTCTCCCCCACACACACAGTCTCTCATACACACACACACTCTCTCATACACACACACTCTCTCATACACACACACACTCTCCCACACACACTCTCACACAGACACACTCCCACACACACAGACACACTCCTGCACACACTCTCCGCCACACACACTCTCCCCACAGACACACTTCCACACACACTCTTCCCCCACACACAGACACAATCTCCGCCACACACACACACTCTCCCCCACACACACCCTCTCTCA